CAGACAGACACACACTTGCACACACACACACACACCATGCAAGTTTGCACTGATTGCCGGTTTTATCAGGAAAAGAAAAACATACAGTTCACATCGAACAATGTCCGCACTCGCTGCTGTACCATTCCACTTGGATCACTTTTCATCTTTAGCTCGTCTGCTCTTTGTCTCCTCTGCCGCCTTCTCTGATGCAGTTGCTATTTTCGGCACATATACTTAGCACAGTAAATGGAATAGAGTATAGGCTGAAAGTCCATTCACTTGATGGAGATTTCTTGAAACGTCGGGCATGAAACATGCCTTCAACTCTATTCTTTAAATTCCCAAATTGAGTGAGGCAACTTTAGAGCGCAACTGGATCGTTTGGAATGAAACGCAAGGCTCGCTGCCAGCGGGTTAGCTATAAATTGAATGGGAATTTCACTAATAGAGCATGTTTCATTTCCTTGTTTCTATTAGAATACCATTTCCATAGGGTATTTCAACTTCGAATTCATTGTAATAGCTCTTATTTTCCCCACATCTATATGCTCTTTGAAATCTGGCGTGTCTGGCAGCGCACTTAATAAATTTTCCCCTGATTTCTGTTCTCGCTCTTGTCCGCGCGAACAGCTTTTCATCAGTCATTCAGCGTCGCGTCGCGTCAGCGTCGCAGCGCATCTTGTGACTTACCTACTATTTGTCTTATTGATTAGTTGATTTTTGGTTTTATTGGTATGGTGAGAGGGGGAGGAGGGAAAGAGGGAGCTTTCGTCGTACGACACATCTATTTGCAGCTCTGCCCCCCCCTCCCCCCATCTGTCAAGACGTGGCGAGTGCTAGTGTAATGATTAGCTATTTCTGTGTAACGGTAATCGCAGTTCATTGTAACCTAGACAAGTTCAGGGTAAATGTTGGCTGTAAATATTTAAGCATATATAACATGAAGTGAAATGAATGAATTGTGAATCAAACTTCCCTTGACTAATCACATTCTCTTCAACTCCTTTTCTTTGCAGAATTCGTGACTATGATGACATCGAAGTGAAGCGTTAAATTATTTCTTTTTAAGCCTTTCTATTTTTTTAAGATGTTGACGAAGACTGTAGCTGTGCGCAAGAACATCGCGCCGCGCTGTTGCTATGGACCCCAATAAAAGATCTTAAAAAAACAACAAAGAGTTAAGCAAAAAACATCAACAACAACAAAACAAGAAGAAGAAGAAGAAAGAAAAAAACATTAAAAAACAAAAAAACATTTAAGAAACTTATAAAACAAAAGCAAAAAGAAAGAAAACTTTACACTTAAAACTAAACGAAGCAAAAAACGCAAAGCAAGAAAATTTAAACAAAGCATAAAATGAGAAAAAAACCCAGAAAAAATTACATAAAAAATTTATATAAAAAAACAAGCAAACAAACAACAACAAAACACACTTAATTTTAATGCAAAAAGAAATGCGAGAAACCAACAACAACAACAAACAGCAAAACTTAAAGAAGTCACCGTTTAAACAGCAAACCAACAACAAAACAGCAAAAAGCATGTTATAAGAAAAGAATTAAACTACTACACTTAAACTACAGGCATACCACACTATAACAAACAACAAACAAACAATCAGAACTTTTGTGTAAGCCGCGCGCAAAGCGTAGCGCATGCAGCGCCCTCTATGGGTCGGCAGCAATGCCCATTCTCTGAGGCGGCAGCAGCAGCGCCCCCTGGCGGCGGCGGTGGCGGCGGCGACATTTGTAGGCAAGAGAGAACTGTTAACAAGAGAAGAACAAATTAAATTGTTTCAAGTRTAAACATTTGTCGAAATTCATTGCAAAAATAATAATAATAATAAAATTAATTAAAAGAAATTAAAATTTGTAATTTTTGCAAAATGAGAAAAATGAAATGAACACCAACAACAGCTCTGCACACAAACACACATACACAAAACACACTCACACATACACACACAACAAACAGAAATAAAATATATTATAAATACAACATATATATATTATAAATAATGTAAAATCAAACAACAAATTCTTCTTATTAAATTATATTTAAATTTAA